GATGTGATATATAGGAATGAAATGAAAAAGTTGTCAAAACAAGTCTATAACAGTAATTACACTAATAACTGGTCTAATGATATGAATTCATACGAAAGTCTCGGCTATACTTCGCACACAAACACCACTTCACCGCACATTCACTACACAGACATCACATCCCATACCAAACGCACCATTCATTACAACAATGGTTATGACAAACACAGCACAGGCTTACGGATCACAGACCCGTTGGACCACATGAATGATATCCATATACCAGAGGGTCAGTCGCTATCAGACCTACCTATCCATCGACCGCTTATGGACTATAGAAACCAATTCAATGAATTAGAAGGCAATAAACTACAGGAACTTCTGTCAGCCGCACAGGTATTTGCGGAAAGGGCTACAATTCACACCTCGGATGAGATTAGTTTTCAATATATGATTGACTACACAATGATCACCAGATTTGACAGACAACTGAAATGTGCGATAAAAATGTCTAAAATGTTGACTGAGTTTAAGGGTTTGTGCGAAAACGATAGGATATCCCTAATTAAGTACGGCCTGTTTGAACTGTTTTTCATCCGGTCAATTATTAATTACAATGCCAAACAACAGTATTGGAGAGTGCCCCTGGTAAGTTTTACTAAATAAATCTAGTGTGGTAACATTATTAATGATTAATCATTATTAATCTTGTAACTAGCTAAATAGGACCGCTATATTACGGTTGGAAATTATGCAATACTTTCCCAAAAATATATATTATTTAAGCAGGATATTTTTGCATAAAATAATGCTCGAGTGGGAAAACGATTCCGTGATTCTGGACTTGGTAATTTAAATATATTACTTATGAAAATATTGTTTAAAATTAATAAAAAAATTTTTAATAGTTAACAGCTATCATAGTGTTTAACCCAACACGGCCTCACCTTTTACATAGAGATTGCATAATGTAATAAATTTAATATATTTTCAATTAGCACTTTATTTTGTCAAATTATGCTGATGATTTATTTTTTTAACCTAGACTTCAACAGCGAGTATACAAGCATTTACTTAAACGCTATTTACTAATGAAATATCGATCCGAAAATAAATCGCAAGTTATTTACACAAGACTTTTAACAAGTTTAGGTCATTTACAAGGTCTGGCTGTAAATATGTTCACTTGGTTTGTGGACAGTTATCCTAATTTGATGGCATATCCACTTTTAAGGGAAGTCCTACGTCTACCATAAATGTATAAGCAAAGTGTATTGCACACTTATCAAAATGTTTAATGAATAAACCTATAGTTTAATTAAAATATTTATTATTAAATACGGTATAACAGTTACATTTCACACTTTTTTCTATTCATATTTATTTTAATTTTTCGCTTTTCTCTCATCTCATAGTTAAATATCCAATCCTTTTGTAGAGAGAGAGAGAGAGAGAGAGAGTTGCGAAATAAGAATAATTTGAAAATTGCTCAAAATATAATACTTTATAATTATCTCGAATTTCTATTTCAAATACAAAACATATTAATATTTGTTGTATTATCGTAAACATTATTAAACATAATAAATATCAAACTATTTTTAATGGTAATTAAAATACAATAACACAATAATAGGGGAAGTGAGAGGGGTGGGATTTGNATGAATTCAAATCAATTGAATTGCAATTCATTGACAAATTCACTGCATTTTCGCATTCAATCCCTTCACACAAAACACTTGCATTTTGTCTAAACTTTGGCACAAATCGCGAAACTCACATAATTTAGACAAAAAACTCTTCATTGATTTCATGATTATTACTTCAGTTAATATATTATCTTTACTAATTTTTTAAAACTTGAAATTTATTCCCACTTTTACTGTTCACTAATTCAAAATAATTCATGGGATCACAAATTATGTGATACTATGTGTTAAATGCCAATACAATAGTGTGTTTGGTGCTGATGTTGACCACTTGCTAGACCAAACTATATAAACTAGCTACAAATTGCAGTTAACTTACAGATTAATAATGAATTGCAAATATTTTGTCCCGCTTTTATAAAACTTTGTTTATATAAGTTATATACAAAACTAATTTAGATAAATATAGGCAATTTTCTATGGTATAATATACTTCATATATTATGATTGTGTAATATAATATTAATATTATACAATTTTAATTTCGCGCCAAATTAATAATTTTTACATTAATATAAACAACGTACATTAATATTTGCACAATAAATAATGTTAATTACAATTATATTATTTTACGCTACTCGCGCAGCATTGCAACCAAGGTCAATTTAATTTCTATACATATTGTATACCAGAAACTACAAGTAATATTGGGTAGAGAGATAAAAGTCCTTCACTTTCCCATCAAAAAGTACTACATTTTATTAGCATTGCATGCAAACTGTAATAATTTGTTGAATGTGTGTAGTCTTGGAAACTGTATATTTGTCGACAATTTTTTACGTAAAATCAACAAATATTTTGTGTATTTCATTTTTTATCTGGTTGTATTTAGTGCTGGTAATTAAATATTAATTAATTAAATAAATACCCATTAATTATGTCCAATACTATAAATAATAATCGATTCACCAAGTTATGTGTGGTTTGCGGCGATAACGCTATGGGTATTAAAATTACCAGAAAATTAATATTTAATACATTAATGTATATATTTTTATTTACACCTGACACTGACCTAGGTGTTAATTTTGACGCCTTGACCTGCGCCTCATGTAAAGCCTTTTTTAGACGAAACGCGTCTAAAAATAAGGTATTTATTCAAATAATATTTATTAGCTAGCTAAGTAAATTGTTATACTTATTACATACAGGTATTTAAATGTCATTTCAATAATGACTGCAAAATCGATGTCAAGTGTCGGAAATTTTGTATTAAATGCCGATTAGACAAGTGCTATGCAATGGGTATGAAAAAGGTTTGTATCAATTAGTGATCAAGGTAAATGAAAATTATTTTTTTAATCAAAATATGTGTTGTGTTTCACTCCCCATAGGAATACATACTTAATGAGGAGGAAAGGCATAAGAGGTATGAGAAGCTGATCGGTGTTTCGCGTAAAAGGCGTCAAAATAGCGATGAAAACTGTGGCACCGGTAGTAGCGATGAGAGTGTGGGCTATCATACAGACACAAACACGACTGTCCCTAAATTGAGTGATATATATGACTCGGACCTGACATCCCATACCAAACACACCACTCATGACAACAATGGTTACCACAAAGTCATCGCACACTCAGAGATCATAGACTTCTCGGACCTCATGCTTGACATCCATATACCTGAGGGACAGTTAGATCCAGTCATACCTATCCATCGGCCGCTCATGGACTATAGAAACCAATTCAATGAGTTAGAGGGCAGTAAACTACGGGAACTCCTAAACGCCGTCAATATATACACGAAAACAATAGTTCCCGTGTCGGGCCTGGA